TGCGGCCACGCCGATTCCTCACCCCCATGCTGGTTCCTCCCTCCTGGTCCGGGTTTACTCCCCGCTCCTCTGCTACTCGGTCCGACGCGTGATCCAGCCTCATTTCTCGCGGGGTGATTTCACGTAAAGCTTTGCTTTCGCACCTTCAGTTCCTCTCTGCTCCCAACTGCCAGAGCTCCCCCTCCACTGCCGCCTCCGGGCTCGGCCTCGGACCCCCGCCCGTCCCACCCCGTCCCTCCCCAGGGAGCTCCTGGTCCTGGTGCTTCACCCGGCTGCTCCTCCCTGCTGCCGCGCTCCCCCCCAAGCCTTCCTGCTGCTCTGCCCCCTGCGCTCCAGCCCTTTACAGCCCGGCACCCACCGGCTGCGTTACCCCACAGCACACCCCAGCCTGAATTTTTTCCAGATTTTACCAGCTGGATTTTTCCCTTTTTTACTTTTCATTTATAAAGTTTCTCTGAAGACAGGTCTCACAGCGTTATTACTTTACAGCTCACCACATGGTGTTTTTGCTTTTTGGCCAAATATTGTGAGGTTTTTGTCCAGGAATTTTGTTTTTTTATTGGGGAGGGGGGGAAACAAACTCCCTTCTATCAAAAAAAAGTCACTTTTTAGAAACACCCGGGTAAAGGTGTTCGATCACACCTAGCATGCCATGCCTTTCAAAAAACACAGCAAGCCAGCTTCCCAGTCTGACAGTTTGCTTACCCCTCCGCTGCCTTGCAGGGCGCCCAAGGCATTTGCTCGGTCTTGCTGCTGCCCCAAGGGAGGTGGGAAGGCTGCTGGGCGACCAGCCCCACGGCATCGCTGCACGCGATTCCCTTGAGCTCACATCTGCAATACACACGCTGGGCTTCAGTTTTAAGAACAAGCCAAAGCAGCCCATTAAGTTCTGACACTGGTTGTGCTGCAGTTAAGTATCTACAGCAGAAACCTGTTCCTAGTGAAATTATTTTCCTCACAGCCAACTGTTCGATTTCCTGCTGTAATAAAACGAGTCCTGGGTGCGCCCGAGCTGCGCGTATGTCACGGCAAGGAAGGGCTTGGAAACTCACAGGCTTTTTTCCATTTATGCCGATTCTCCCGAACCTCAGCCAGAAGCCAGGGTGGGATGTTTAAGACACCTGGGCATATTTACAGTAAACAGGCGAAAAACGACAACTCATTGGCCGCTGGAGAAGGAAGCAGACAGCTGACAGAAAATGCAGCACAGGATGAAGAGGCAGCTTTGAACGTGAGATAGCTCAGCCCCGAGAACACACCCCAGTGCCTCGAGCAGAGGGGACTTGTAGGTGACTTCAAGGCTGCTCATGTGCCGCTGCGTCAGGAGCATGGGCACCATCTCAGCTCAGCCCTGCTACCCTTGGGAGTTTGTTCCCTTTATCTGTTATCTCCTCAGATGCCCTACTGCCTTCTAAAGCCAGTGCCAGGTTCTCGGTCCCCCCTCCCTCCCTTCAGCTCCCACTCACTGCACTTGCGGGGCTTTGCCATTTGCTTTCGCAGGCGCGGCCGTGCCCAGCACCCAAGGGGTGACCAAGCCCCCGCATCCCCTCTTCGGCACCTCCCCGTGCTGGGCGGCTCTCCCCAGGCGCCGGGGACTCGGCCATCCAGGCACCGGCAGCCTGTCTGCAGGGGTCCGAAGCTTGCTGAAAGGCAGCCAGGTTTAGGCTCCTGCGGCACTCGAGAGGCTTCGAAAACTTTGCTCCATTAGACTGATCACAGCGGGAAAAACCTGAAAAGGCAACTGTCAATAAATGCAGCACATGAAGATGAATTAACCTCCTGCGTATAACAAACTGTTTTCATAAGGTTTTTCTAACAGAGCCACAGAAAGTTCAGCACTGGGCTAGAATGAAAGCCAGCAAGATGACAAACATCTTGAGATAAACAGGATGGACACACTGACTGTTTTTATACGTACTCTATAAAGAGGGAAATTAATTCCGGCTGACATCTGGCAGACAACATTCTTCTATCAGAGATAAGAGTTAGACACTAGACAAAGAAGATGACCTTTTAATGGAAATGTTCATAGATGAGCTTTAGTGGGACACTACAATACAACAATTAAGAGAATGAAATACTGAATTTCTTAATTTTTAAATTTAACTTTGCTACAATTAAACAAGTGTGTATTAACTAGTTTCATAAAACAATCTGAAAAACAGTATTTCCTTTTCATTCACCATCCTGCTATTTAGAAAAAGAGGCTGGCAGGACTGCTCAGAACACCGATTTCGAAAGGCCAACGTTGTCAAAGCTCCCACTGTCCAGGTCCCAGAAGAATACTATGAGTAAGTCAAATCATCATTTAAACCATCATGATTGCAGTCGGTGAAAGTTTCAAACATTTGAACAATTACATAAAACTTATAAACAGGGAGCTTTCTCATTTTTTTGAGCAATTAGGGGATTCTCTTTATGCCTAGAGATCAGTGTAACAAGACACACTGTCTTACAGACGGTCTGAGAGGGGACATCAGATCTGGTCAGTTTATTTTCTGTATCTGAAAATGTTTATCTTCATCTTGGTATGACAATATACATCAGGAAGAAACATACAGACACATAGAGAAAAAAAAAAAAGGCAAGTTATTTCTGAAAAAAATTAGATGGGTGAAGTCAATTGCCCACTGGGATTGACCTGTATGTTTGATACCATGACAGCACACACGCTCTCCGGGGAACGTGCCCATCACATCCCCGTGTCCTGATCACGCGCTTCGCGGCATCCTGAGGGACTCCGTCCACCCTGCCGACAAGGGCTCCTCAGACCTCCCTGTGACCGGTGACTGCTCCCAGGGGAAATGCAGGGACACCTTTTAGCAGTGGGATGACTTAAGCTCCAACACGGGACACAGCACTTGAAGATCTTCAAAACAACAGCTACTTGCAGCTGCTGGTTTGCAGTTTGGAGCGGGGTCGCTCCCCTGCCCAGCGGGGCTGTTCTCCAGCAGGCCAGGGGCAGACCCGAGCCCCGGGGGATGAGCCGAGATGGTCCTGCCACCTCCAGCGAGGGCCAGGCAATTCCACCACCCTGACCATGCTCCCTAGCCTCACAAAAAGCACCTTGCTCCCCGGAGAAGTCTTAACCCTTCTGTTTCTGGCACCTAGCAGTAAGCAGATGGGCAACTCAGGCTTTGAAGGAGATAGTGGATTTTATTGGACCTTCGTTATTCAAAGACTACTTCTACTTTGGGGGTGGGGGAGGACGCAAATGCTTCCTATCCTAATTCCAAAATCCAGAGTGATGTGAGAATAAAAATGCTAGTCTTAAAATTGTACACAGAAGTTCAAATAGAAGTAACTTGATAATTTCCTCAGGCACACAAAGCAGCAACTCAATAAAAATAAATATGCTAATGAATGTATTTAGTCTTGGCCATTACATTTCATAAATATTTACTGTTCAGCATTCAGAGTCCAAATTCACAAGAATCAGTTAACAATCAAAATAAGAAAGATGAAGGAAAGTATTTTGTTCCGCTGTGCCAATACAAAATACGGTCATTTCCTAAGGACCGCGTCATGGCTCTTTCATCACAAGGTACGGGCTAGCATTTCCCATAGCATAAACCTATAGCACCAGCCACATAAGCAGAGGTAAGTGGATTTACACTACTGGAGAGCTGGCGCGTGGTCACAGTCTGTGGCTCAGCTCTTTAATAGTACGTTCATTTAGCTTCAGAACAGGATAGTTGAGACCATTAAATATTGAAATAAGCAGGACCACAGCACTCAGGTATAGCATAAGGAAGAGTCCACCAAGAATTTACATCACATTTCAGAAAATAAAACACAACCCACCCTGAAAAAGGTGAAGCTAATCATTTGGCTTTGTGGCAATCAAATAAGCGGTTCAAATCTCCACAAAGAACAAACACTGATTTTAATGGGGCTATTTGTAAAGCGTGGTATTACCCTAACTCAGGAAGGGTATCAAAGCTGGCTTGTGCTTATCTGAATTTCAAATGAAAAGTTTAAAATAAAACTATCCTGATATGGTGTGTGGAACAAGAGGAGGAGAAGCATATGAGACACCCTTTGTCAGGAACTTTACTTGCACTTGACCAATTCCCCTCCAGGTTTATTCTTCTTCTATTCAGAAGCAATAAGAGAGAAATACTTTCTGAAAGAATTCAAATATATGAAAAACTTGCATTGAGGCATGTCTTTACAGCTGAAAATAATCATGCTGGCAGAGGTATAATAACCAAATATTTCCAACACAGCTATCAGAACTGAAACAGAGTGACTCAAGCAGGGAACAGCAGCCCTACTCAGCTGCTACAGCTGGGCTTCATTTCTGTAGAAGGAAGCCTCTACCCCACAGAATTAAGCTGTGAAATAAACAGCACGCGGGGTGTGCTTGCACCTCCCTTGATAAGACACAAAGCAACTGGTTGACTAGGCAAGGGTGTCTTCATAGCAACAAGGGCTATTTTTGTTTTGCCGCTCTATGTTCCCTTACCGAATTCCTAGTCTCTAGAGATTATAGCACCAATTCACAGGAAGACGGTGTTTCCAAGCTTACACTTGTTCCTCTGTGATTTTCATGATCAACAATATTCCCTTAAGTAGTACGATTCCTTAATCTTTTGTAAAAGACTTGCAGTCTATGGTCTTCTTTTCTTCCAGCTGTGCATATTAAACGCTCTTTCCTCAGTAAAATGGTACCTGTAAATTTCAGACTACAGCCATGGAATCCCAACGGCAATGAAGATATGTGGTTCCAAGGAAACTCTACGCAAATACATTTTCTCCTGCAAAAGCAGAGAAAATAGGTTTTAGAAGAACATTTATTAGGAGGTAATCAATAGCCATTTGCTCTTGTTCTGAAACTAATTTAAGAGTTGACTAAATCTTCCCTCCACAGATAACTGCTGAAGATACTACTTTTGAGTAAAAATCCTTAGAACCAAGGTCTTATTTTACTAGGACTATCGCACTCATGATGTATTAACAGAGAGGAGAGGATGAAATAGAGGACACAGAAGTTGTCTTAATCAACATACTATTCAGAAACTCTGCCACAGTATTAAGCCTAACGCTGCAGTAGATCATTATTTTTCTTGAAAATTCCACAAAAGTTGCATGCTATTTATAATGGACAAAAACACACATTTATTTGTAGAACTACAAGGAGCACAATGTGCAGTAGGTATCACAAACTCTGAACAATTTTTCTTAACTGTAGATGGATGTTGCACTTACAAATGCTTATGAAGATCACCCACACTGCTCCTGAAGAAGTGTCTCCATTATTTTAATACTCTGCAAAAAAAGCACAAATAAATGCCAGTTTTACACACAACTTAAGTATTTCACACATTAGAAAGGGTACCCAAAAACATCCCAATAAAGCCTTAAAAAAAAAAATAATTGCATTTTATGGTCCCACACTAACTCAGTGCAGTTCTCCCCACTGCCTGGGAGGCACAAGGAGTGCTACGGCACAGGCTGCTCAGGGGAACCTGGAGGGGATAAAGGACCCTGAACAGCTTGCAAGCTCTTCCAAGTCAAGGCTGCACGAAGCCAGGGCACTTGATCAGGTCACACATTTTATTCCAGTTCTGCCACTGCTTTGCTTGGACCAAGCCACTTCTCATCCCCGCACCTAGGTACATCCATCTTTAAAAAGGAAATACCATCACTCGTGTTCTTTGCAAGCAACCGGGTGTGCGAGGATGAAAGCTCCCCAGAAAGCCAGTACGATTATTTCTATAATGAAAGAAAGCAATACTGAAATTAAGTGAAAAATGCCAGAGGACCATGAAGGTGAATATTTCTTCTCCGGGACTGATCTGTGAAGGAAGGAGGAAGTACCAAACAATGAACTGTTATTAAAGCAAAATGCAGTTTCAGTCTAGAGGTTCTGTTTGTTTGGGGGTGCACTGCAGACGAGCCCTAGGCACTCACCAACCCGCAGCAGCTGCGCAGGTGCAAACCACTGAACAACTTACAGCAGGGCAGCCGTCTGAAAAACGGGGGGAAGCTTTCGACCAAGTGCTCTTCCCACATCAGGGCTACAGACTCCTTCACAGCCAGATGCTTCTCTATTTTGAAATGAATTTAAGTTCAAGGCTCAGTACAAAGTGAGAGAGAAGCAGCTTCATATTTGGTGAAAAGCAAAAGCCACTCACTTTAGATAAGAAAATCCACAACATCCCTCTCCCCCACACTTTTTGGCTCTGTCTGTGTACTGAAATTGTAGTAATTTGCCAACCCTACCTCTAATGGTCAGATCTTGTGGACTGAAGCAAGATTGGAGCTTAGCTATAACCTGCGTGGGGCTAAGGCTTACCCTAGTATGCTCTATGTTTGTCAAGATAAAAGAAAAAGGATTTCGCAGTTTGAGTCACCATGAGAGGAGGAAAAAAAAAGACAATTAACTTTAACAAATAGGTCAAGAGAATTTCTTTTCACATCTCTCAAAAAAATTGGACAAGATATTTTATATCTATGAAAAACAGTTCATCTTCCATGCCTATTCTTTGTAGAAGGCAATAAACTGACTACCTTAGTCTACCAGTCTAAATTGGACATGCCACTGTTTACAGAATGAAGCACTAATTGACATAAGTGAGGTTTGCCTAGGGAATTTAAAAATGTTACTTATTGAATCAATTATGTTCACAGCGTGACAACTGCTTTTTCTTTTATTTTTCCTCATAGCACTGTACACTTTTAGGCAAAATGATGTTGAGGAAGAAAAGGGGAATGAGAGGGGACTCCATTAAATGAATAAAATATGAAAGGGCAGGTACAAGTCATTACCCACTATCTTTTCAGCAAGGAACAACTAAATCAAAGCCTAATCAATATATTCCTTTCAACTGAAGTTCAAACACTTAAATCTCAGCCCCAGGAGATCAGGCTTAAAGGAGCTAAATTTACACTGCTTAGAGTGCAATGATGCACTTGAAATGCAGAACAAACATTGCCTACCCATTAAACTCTGCAGCTCTACAGCTGCAGCTTAAAAGCTTCTCTGACGGACAACCCATGGAACAGTTTTATTTTTCAAAGGTGGAGATACTCTGCTACTGTAAGAAGCTATCCTGCCCTAAGTGTCAACATACTTCTACCCTTATCGGTGCAATAGCCCAAGGCACTCAAAGGGATGGGAGCCCAGCAGAGTCCCAGTTCAGGAACAGCTATGGGTGACTCCTCCAGCGAGTGCCACTTTGTCACCTCAGCAGTACACTGAAACCACAGAGGGCACACTGACCCAGCAGCGGGGTGACAGGCTAACGAGGGAAACGTGAAATGGCAGCCTAAGGAGTTTCCAGCACTACAGACTTGTTGAGCAGCCTACGCTTGTATCTGGAATATCCGCTAGGAGCCAGACCGGACTGCCAGCTGACAGGGATAGAGGGAATGTTTGATGCCTGTAACGTTCTCCACATCTTCACCAAACACTCTAAGTTTTAAATAGGAGGTTAGGTAATGTACAGGAAAAGTATAAATAGCCTGTTTGAATGTGATGAAGGCAATGCATATTACAGTGCATACCTCATTGCCATTGCCACTACAAAAGCAGGGTAGCATTTTAACAGACTAGCAGAAAATTTTCTGCTGTCTCTGAAAAGAGCACCCAATACCTTTCATTCTTTTTGTAACCATGACAAAACATTTTTCAGTTAAATATTTGTTATTTGAGCTTAGCTCCATCATTTAACAAACACTACATCACGGCCTTCAATTTCCATCTCCTTATATATTCAAGTCAAGCAAAAGGAATCTAAAAAAGAAACCAAGAAGTGAAAATGACAAAAATGTTGCAACATTTAAGATGCAACGGATAAAACATCTACCAACATAACAAAAGTTTCTTGCTACAAATGCTCCTTTATTTTGTGGCCTTAAAGTCACTCATAACTTTGTCATCTGTACTGCTTCACACTGGCAGGGATCATCATAACTTAGACATATACAAACTCATTAGGCCACTTTTTAAACAAATTTTAAAAACTCACACACACAAAGGCTGACTTTAGGGGCCACCACCACCCCTCTTGGGCTGGAAACTTCTCCCAGACTTTGCTTGCAGACTACGGAGCATCCTTTCCCCTCTGCGAAGGAAGCCAGGCTCTCGCCAATAGACCCAGAAAGGGCTGTGCTGGTAGCTGGGATTTACCAGCATATCTGCTCAGACTTTTGAATTATTCAGGAGGGAAGTTTTATTGGCAATAATGTCATTAATTAATCATTCATTAATACCTTTTCTGAACAGATAAGAAAAAAAATAATCATAAATGCTGTAATTTCCACCCAAATGTACTATGACTTCTACAAACAAAAGTAGCGCAGGAGAACTTTATCTCCTATATTTTTGTTCAGAGTTGGAATAAAATAAGAGAAACGTGACAAATATGAGGAGCCATAAAATGTCACTGTCATTCTGTTAGGCATTAAAAAAACCCCTACCCACAGAATAGGCTCATATCTCAGTTACAAAAATAATGATTAAAAAGATCAGTGCCTTTGGTGTCCATGAATAGTTTCACGAATAGTAACTTTTCTCTCTCTTTCTATAAAATGAAGATATTTAATACTGACTGTGTGAATACATGAGCTTTATGGTAGTCATTCACAAAATTTAATATTCATACAGTATTTTCTCCTGCTCTTCATGTAGCTCATCCCCTGCTCCATTTCCTCCACCCCCTCAAATTCCTGCCTCCCACTGTTTCCTTACTCCCTTATCTCATCCGAGCCTTTCCAAACAGATGGATGGAGAAGCGCACCGCTGTCAGGACCAAGGAGATAAAGCAGGAGTCACGGTTTGGCTTTGAAAGTAACATCCTTATGTATTCCAACCAATTATACCAGGTGCAAGAAAAGCAATGCCCTTTTGGTCAGGCCATTAGGAAGGATGCAGATCAGGTACTGGAAGATAGGAAGTAAATGGAAGCTTGGAGAACATTTATCAAGCATTGTCATTCATGCAACATATATTTTAAAACTTTAAATATCATCTTTGTATTGCCATTTATTACATTTGGGTAAAACGTGCCTCAAAACTACTCTATGGCCAAGCCACAAAAGGAACCCTACCTTAGAAGAAATGAAATGCATTGATACAGCTGCTGCCTTAGAGAAATGGATGTTTCGGAGGCGGGGGGGGAAAGCAGGCAAGACTGTACATTTATACCAGATCTGGTGCGCTTGTATTTTTCTTTTTCACAGATCTGCAGACATAGCCAAAATTGCTAAATGATTTCTAATGCAGCATTGTAGAGATACTGTGAGCTAGTTTGTTTTATCCACTAGCTCTGCGCTGTCATAAGCCGGCAAGACGTGTTTCATTGCTCACGGTCATCGCTTACACTAACATAGCTGTCTACTTCTGTCTTTTTCGTCTTTTAAAGCCACAACAAAAAGATCTTACAGTTATCAAGAATGAGGAAATGAATAAATGCCCGTGCCGTTTGAAATACATTTCCATCTACAGCTCTTGGGGCACAGATTCCAAAACCAGCTTCTGAAGCACAAACGAGAGGTTGGGGCTGTCGGCCCCTGCACCACCAGAGAGGAGAGTGGCCGAAGGGACTGCGGGTGCTGCCCAGGCTCCACGCTCCAACACCCACTGACCTCAGTGGGAGAAAAGACAGGACACTGCTAAGGCCTCTTAAAAACAAAACAAAACAAAACAAAACAAAAAAAACTTCAACAGTATTAACCACTTGGTCCCCATGAATAATTAAAGAATGGCATAAGGCATGATCTGAACTGTGGACATCTAAGTTCATCTGAAAAACAAATTTCTCCATTAGATAACTAAAAAATGATAAATAATGGTAAATATAGGTTCATTATAGTCTTGCAGTACATAAGATTCATGAGCCCAGCCATGAAAATGCCATGTTTTCAGGCACATACATATGCCTTCATTCACCTGAAACAAGATACAAACTGGGGGGGGGAAGACAAAAAAAACCTCTTACTTTCTCATTAAAAAGGTTTACTTAATTATTCCTTCCTCCTCCTTCTTGCTCCTTTTTCAGCAGGTGTACATTTCAAACAGTCTGCACAGCACAAACTGAACCCCCAAATCTCTTCAAGGCACAAACTTCCAGACAACAGGACTTCCATGAAACTTCATTTCCCAATGAACGCTTCAGGAGACATTGCTGTTAAACCTAGTTTATCAATATGACATGACTCCCAGAAACGAAAGGCCTTTGAACACTAACTCCCTTGGGATGCTCTGCTGGATAGCTTTTATCCTCTTTCATAATTCTTACTGAAAGACAGAACTATTGAAGTATACAGAACTGCTACAGGGAGATTGACTGTGGCTATTGTAAATACATCAAGTTGCCAAAAAAAAGATCTAACATTACTGGAGAAAAATGCATGACATGATATAAATTCATGTTGACTACTTTCGACTATTTCAGTGTAAAGGTGCTATAGAACTGCAAATTATTATTACAGTATTAGCTGCTACAATGAGGCATTAGGAAGAACTGTTTCAATGTCTGGGGGAAATCAGGAATAAGAATGAATTACAGAAACTGATACAGTCATACATGCCATATTTTAAAATGTATTTGAAATAAAACTATTACCATAATAAAACTAAATCCATTTTTGTTCTGCTTATTCTCTGTAGACAAAAGAAAAGGTCAAGTATTTTTTCAACAATTAAAAGATGTAAAGAATCCAGACTTAAAACATCAGTTTAATTTTGAGCCTAGATGATCTGGTGATTTGAAAAAATTTAGAGTATAATTTGGGGAAGAAATTCAAGCAATAAATGACTTACCTTCTTCACACCTTGTTTTAAAAATGATTGAGCAAAAGCTTCCAACACACAGTTGAGCAAACCTGCCCCCGTCACTGATATTCTGCCTTTTTGTGTGAAGTCTGTCCTAAGAAACAGGAACATAACGCACTTTTATTTTTCTGTCTACTTAGTAAACATTAAGTGTAAACTCTGCATTAGAAAGTTAGTGCTTGATACCCGAGTACAGGATTCATCTCTTACATTCACGTATTTTGTATGACAATCTCAAAGGCAAACGTAACAAGATACAGGAACATCAGCATAACGAGAGGTTTGTAACGACCATCTCCTGCGGTCAGCGCTGCTGAAGGTCCAGCTGGACTCTGCTTCAGGAAAGACATGCGCTCACTGGAGAAGCCCAAAGAGCAGCAACACAGAGAGAGGTCTGGAGAGGACACAACAGCCATCTCCAGAATCAGGAAAGCCAACTGCAGACACAGTGAAATACGCTTGTATGATTTTATAGAGTCCTCAGGACATCATCCCACCCAAGCTAGACAGAGGCAGTGGTAACAGCGAGGAGAGGACCGCCCGCCGCTATCCCCGCAGCACGCATGCGAACCCCGCACCTCTGATGCCCTCAGCGGGCCACGACCATTTATTATTTCTGTCAATGCAGTTCGGTAAGAAGACAAACGCGTGGAGTTCGAGTGAAGGAGCTGGAGAACGTGAGAAGTTCCCCCCAACCACAGGATGGATGTCAGCAGTAAAAATCCACCATTGAACTCTGCTGCTCTGGTTGGGATTTATTTATTCATTTTGCAGTTTCACCATTGGAGGCGACAAAAAAGGGAGGCTCATGGACAATATTGATCTCTGATTGATTTCCGTAGCACGCAGCTGGCAATGCCGCATCATTACAACACAGTCACAAGGAGAAGTCTATTAATGAGATCCAACTACTAAATTATTGACTAGTTAAGTATGGCAAATTTGGTCTAATTGTTTTCATGATGGGAGTTTAATTAAAGTGTCTTTAGTATAAAAAGTCTAGCAATATTCTTGTTCAGATAGTGTCAAGGAGAGTTTCCAAAGCCTGCATGGCTTTCAAAACTAAATTAAAAGTTACATCCAGTGCGAGGCTCTTCAAAAAAGGGAGCTTTTGTACGGGGGATCTTTATAATTCCCACCTCCAGCTGATGAGCACTGCTCATGCATCACGTGCATCTCTCCACATCAGGGAGACATCTTCTCACTCTGCACCCACTGCGCTGCGAGAGACCGCAGCTCCCTCAGGCTGTATGAAATGAGGGAAAGTGCTGGGTAATAAAGGGAATCCAACAGCAACTGAGGTATACAAAATGAAACAGCAAAGAAATGCTCCTAGCTGGAAGGGGGAAAGCAGTCAAACCGAAACACAGAGGGACGGCAAATGACACTGGAGACAAAATGCAAGCTACACAGGGATTCTCCACTGTGGAAAGTCAGGTATAACCTGCCCAGACACATGGAAATTTGCCAGTACACAACTACAGCATAAATCCAGGCAGTTACAGGGGAGTTTTGCCACTGACTTTCCCCTTTGGTTTGGCACTGTGCACAGATAACTCTTCCCAGAGCCCTCCCCATCAACACAGATGCTGCCCAGCTCAGCTGGGTGGAAAACAAGCTCAAACCTAATGTACGTAACACACACTTTTAGGCTAAGGGCAATTGAATCACTCTAGAAATTGTTACTAACCCAGGCACGTACGCATGCAAGTGGAGGAGAGCAGTTGACAAGATTCACACTGGTTTGATATACCAGCAGCGAAAGAAAGCTCCGAGCCCCGGAGCCCTCCAGAGCCGCATCCTGCAGCAGCGCCAGCAAACACCCGGGCAGTGCCGGCGAACACCAGGGCAGCGCTGGCAAGCCGCCCCAGACCCTCTGCAGGCAAATGCTGCTCAGGTCTGGACCCGCCCTGCCTGCAGCTCTGCCTGCGGCCAGGCCTTGCCCACGGGGACTAGCTGGCTTTCTTTGGACTTCAGACATCAAGATGAGATGCTTCTCTGTAACAGCAATTAAATCATGGAAACCAAATAAAAAGTGTCATGAAGGAGTTCAGCCAAGAGGCTAACACAGGTGCTTTCTGGCCTCTGAATATACAGATATGCCTCATCATGCCTTTTTCAATGGTTTATAATTTATTTATGGTAATGTTTGTTTGCTACTAGATCTTTTCAGACATTTATATGCTCTGCTTGGAAGCACCCACAATAATTCACTTTGCAAGAATATGCAGCAGTTGGCATCACTGCATTCACATTTATTTAGGACAAAATAACCACCTGACGTTAAGAGGAAGAACTATACTGTGGTTAAATTGACTGTTTGGGACTAAGCAAGCATCACTTCAATCGCCCCAGTTCCATTAGGGACATCAGGAAGGTCGCAGTCTCCCTTCCCTGACTTGCAGTTCTCTAGCTGAAAATAATAAAGGATGTAACTGCCAACCTCAAACTGGGTAAACTAATCCACGTCCTGTGGATGAGGTTCTCCTAAATGTCTAAGCCGCCGGTCCCTGCAAGGATGGGATTCGTGGTTTGATTTTCTACAGCATAATGGTCTACAAAGTACCTGGGCTGAAGTCAGCACAGAGAGTTATAACTTCATCTGACAGGGGTAGCAATATTCTGGATTCCCATCAGCATCATCCCACCACGTGTGCCTGGGACCAGGCTGCACCTCTCCAAAGCAGCAGCTCTGTCACTAACCCCACTGGCAAGAGATCTCCTTGCAGAGGCACAGAGCAGGGCTGCGGGTGCCACGGCTGTAACGCACCCTGGGGAACGCCTGCAGGGCAGCCTGCACCCACCACCCCAACATCTCCCGAGCCACCAGCTCCCCACTAGGTTGGGAGCGGGCAGTGCCTGGCGCGGAGCGCACCACACACCCAGGAGGTGCGGGGAGAGGCGAAGGCACTCGACCTGCTCGGGCAGCTGATCTAGATGCAAGCCAGCAAAGCGGCACTCTGCTTTCATTTATCAGCATCCTTAACAGTGTCGTGTTAAAACTGATTAAACAAACAAACAGCCCGCTACAACATGTGCACGGTGCCTGACTGAGGTGCAGAATCATAGAATCATTAAGGTTGGAAGAGACCTCTAAGATCATCGAGTCCAAATTTTCTCATTCCCTTCATGCTTGTAGTGCTCTGAAGAGTTTCAGGAGGTTGCTATTGAAATCTGCCCAGCAGTGCTTAGTAGGGAAGAAAGACAAGTTTCTGTCTGTACTCAGGTTACCATCACTCTCGTAATGTTGTTCTCTCTTTAGGGGCATAATGTACGATTTTCCCACTAATCAGGATCACTTGAGTCTCCTCATTGTGTGTTTTCTTATTTCTTTCCAGTACAATAGTATGCTGCTAATGTTATGCCCTTTGCATAATTCCTTCATCTATTCAAATGTAAATGCCACCGTACATATACTACGTGCAGATGAAATTTCATGCCTGTTTTGCCAGCCAGCATTTGTTAGATCCGATTACCTCCATAAGACTCCTGAAGAGGTGACAGTGGTGCGCACAGGCACACCCAGGTATCCTTGAACCTACCTGGCCAGGGCAGCACGGCTGAGGTCCGTGGGCTCCTGCAGCTACGGACTGCAGCTGCTGACCTGCATCGGTGCCACGGTACCTCCAGAGGCACCGTCGCCTCGGCAGGCATTGAAAGCCTGTGTAAGTGAACCTGCTGAGGCTGCAATCACACTCTGGCAGCCCAGCTACACCTCTGCCTTCCCGATTGCCACAGTATGCTTTAAGGTAAGAGTGAGCGGTGGTGACACTGAGCTCAGACAACTCCCCTGCACAAGCCTGCAGGAGCAGAAGCAGCACACTGAGGACAGTGTCCTTCCTAAACTGGAACTGAAAAACCTTGAAAACAGGGCATGCGTGAGTGACCAGTTGCAGTAGTTACAGTTTCTACACCAACAGGACCAACATCTACAGATGCAATGCAACTCTGATGCGGAGGAAGCCTCAGTAAGGACAGAGGGTCCCAACAAACTTTTGAAAGAAAACAGTTTAAAAAGCTAGAGGAACATGTCCTCAAACAGCGACGTCCAAGCATAGGGCTTTCAAAAATGCCTGAGCCACAAGAAATTTAATTTCATGTGAAGTTGATGGTTTTTTTCTTAAACATGCTTAGAGCTTTCCGAAGTCACACGGACCTTGCTGGACAACCCTGCCACGCTTCCCAGGGAACATCACAAGGCAAAAGTAACAACTAATTACAAGAGACACCAGAGCAAAGTAAGAATTAATGGGGTTGACATCAGCTGGAAAAAAAATCTTTTTTTAAAGACAGTCACATGTATCACATACCTGCTCATTTCAATGCTATGGGAAGTAGAAATTCCACTCTGATCCTGCCATAAATGCGCATAAAGACATTTCTAGGCTCCAGTCTATACAAACACAAGTGTGTGTTCTCCCAGGCAAAGTCCCACGGCAGCTTACATCTTTGGGGCACAGCAGGCCAGACACCAGAGAAAGAAAATTGTTTGGGAACAAGTATGCTTCATGCCAACGGCTGGCAAGCAGGAGGGAGCTGATAATTTTTAAGCTGCTGTCCAAGCATCTGTTGGTAGACACGAGAGCAAAACGAACACTCTGGCTACGCCTGCTGCATGGGAACAGCGGGGTAGCCTTCTATGACTGCAGAGCAGCACACAGAAAATTAATTTCCAGCAATTATTTGAGCTCTGGCCAGAGAACCTAACCTCGTGTCTGAACAAGCCAGAGGAAAGCTACAGGACATCTACAGTTGCTGCTTCAAATGTATTCAAGACATACAAAGAAATTATTATTCAGACCCCTCTCATTCCAAGCATTCAAAAGGCAACAGAAAATCCTTTTTCAGGGCCACAGGCCTGCAGTAGCAGCACTTAGCCAGCACAGGAGCAGGTGCTACACCGAGGCCAGCACTCACCAGTTTGGATTCTCCAAGCTCTCTCTGAAGACAGACTCCTCACTCAGAGACGCATACTGTGTCCAAGTAAGACAATGAGTTTTCATAGCCATGTTTCTTTTCTGCATATTAAGCCAAGATTCCTCTTCCAAGTAGATGTCGGGCACTTTTAAGACACTGACCTGGGAAACAGAAGAATTCTAGCTTTTAAAAAGAAAAAAAGGTAGAATCACTTCTCAGTATTTTGAAAGTATTACTAGCCTCAGAGGATAAGACTGAGGATTCAGGAGGAGGTCCCATCAGCTGTGGTTAGCCCTGATGAGAACAACCAACTTCCTCAGCAGCTACTAAAGGCCATGCAAACACTCCAAGATTTAGGGAAGCTGCTCGGTCCCCAGCCAGACTTCCAAGACCACTACCGGCCAACTTACCTGCATCACTTCATGCTCTCTCTCTTGCTGCTGATGGCTAATTTACGACAACGAAGGATAACAGAAGCCACTTCCAAACAGTTACATGCAAGGCAGCCAAACCCGCCAGCTAAACCACAAGAGCAGGAGGAAGGCTTGCACCTCTGCAGGCTCCTGCCACCAGGCGCAGCGGCTGATGCCCTGCTCCAGCTCCTCTCTCCCAGGAGGCCTCCTCCTCTGAGAGCCCACTTGTCAACCTGAGTGACCTTGATCTAGCAAGCATGGGCCAAAGAAGGGATGAAAATCTCACCATCGATTTATTTACATTCTGCATGTATAGGGCAATGATATGTTCTCCTTGGCAGGTGAGGCTTGGAAGAGACAAACACAGGTTTAGAGGCAAAAACACAGAGAGTCGTCAGCACCAGGAAAAGAGTTCATGCATACTTTTAAGCATGCAGGCTGTGAAATAGTACAGTTATTTAACCATGCATGAATGCAAATGTACTTTTCTGTATACAGACTATCTGCTGCAAGATACTCTGCAAAAAAAACAAATAATAAATTAAGGCTAATTCTTCTCCCATAACAAACTGTGAAGAAAGGACTGTCACTAAAAGAGACACTAGAGAGAGACATTAAGGGATTGCACAACCCAGGTCCTTACGTTTCCTACAGTCTTTAAGGAATCACATTTTACCTTCCTTACAGGGACCCTGCGATGCCATATTTAACTTGCAACATGCTATAGGCACATTAAGTATTATTTTAATTCCTTCTGAACTCACTTACAGAACGGCTTTGGGAGAGATTACAACCCAACGTGTTCAGGAGCCATGGATCAGACATCCAAAATACATGAGCTCAGCTTAGAAATAACTACCCAGTGTTTACTACTAGCTGCCGCCTTCTTGCTGAGTTCCATAAGACTAGGCTTTTATAAAAATACCACCTACCACACAAAAATCGTGAGCATTGACAGCAATAATTCTTATACTGGGGGGGGGAGAATGGTTGTACTTTCACTGTGGCCCAGATAACATTTTAAAAACAGCTTTACTTTTTCCAGGTACAAAAGTTAAAAACCCATCACTGCCTGTAAAACAACCACCACCACCAGTTACATCTTAGTGTGCTCAAGGCTACAATTTTGTCCATTCAAGTTAAATATAAAATCAGTTCCTACAAATTTTTTTTCTCTTAACTTCTCTTTAAAATAACTTTTCTAATTTAAAAAAAAATCATTAGGAAATGTGATCCTTTTAAACAAGATAAACCACAGTGAAGCATTAAGGTTTTACAACTTGACTGAATTTCTCTACAAATAGTTACCTTTCTTAAAATTTCAGGAATTACATTCTGGCACGTTGCAATTCTCCTCCGGTAAATAATCCCCGTAGACAAATCTGATGATAAAAGAAAATAAGAAGGAAAGAGTTACAGCAGCAAATATTACCATTTTATACTGTACCAAACAAATAGTATTTGGTATTTGGTAATACCAAAACAAAGTAGTTGGAAGACTTCACAGCACAGCAAATATGCAAGGAGAAATGCTGGCAAATTAACAGAGCATTGGGAGGGGGGGTGGCTTTGGTTTGGGTTTTTTTTTTCTTTAAGTATAACCCAATATCCCTGCTGCTTTGCCAGACAGAAAGCTGTAAATAAGACTGCTACAGGCATTTTGTGCTCTGCCTCAGGAGGAGGGCATCTGCATCCATCACTGTGATCCAGACCCCCCTTATCCAGCATGTGGTACACAGATTTTACTGGCATTTATAGTGGTGCTCCTGGGTAGCAAAGCACTGCAGGCTGCGTGGGGGCTCACAGGACTCCCTCCCACAGCCCACGCAGGGTCTGGCAGGACCCACTGGAGAACCCTGCTCCTGGTGGCACCGGGTGGACGATGACCAGGGCAAGGGAAAAGCTCGGGCGACTGAGCTACCAGACCAACATGTGGACCTAGGTTTTAGTTTATTTTTATGACCATCCCAATTTATATTCTCAGGCTCATTCTCTAGGCAAACACACTGTGTACAAGATTTACAGAACAGTCCTGTCTCATCACACATTTATTTTTGTATTGAGTTGGACCCAGTGACAAGGACGAAACTATCTATTAGGAAACAAATTACAGTTATTTAGTGTCTCCAAAAAATGGTTGGCTTTTAGAATCACTTTGCCTTTTAATATTTAATGACCCAGATCAAGAACAGAATGCTACCAAATGAGAAGCCAGCTGGCAGGCAGCCCAGGTTAAAGGCTTCTCTGGGTAAAAGGATACCTTCTCGAACAGTCGCATTTGGTGGGATCTGTGCAATGAAAACTTCATGGGGTTCGGTTTCCAGAACTCTAACAAACGCATCACATTAATAATACGGAGATTCTATCTCCATGCAACATAGAGCAGAAAAGCATTCTGCAGAAACAGTGGTTTACTGCATTTGAAGAAAACAGCAATGGCAGCACTAACGCTCAGCTTTCTTGAATCTCAGGGCAACCTCACTAACCTTGCTTAGAAAGAGAGCGTAAGCCTGGAATTAAGAGCCACCATTACACCTGAGCTGCAAGACAGAAGACATCTCCAAATGTATGATAAAGAGCATCCACAAGCATTTCGGAATAAAACTTTAAAGTCCACAAGTTCTTATCTCATCCCAAATGAGTATTTGATCACCGTTCCCATATTAGGAAGAGAGGTGGTTATTTCCACACAAAGTCCTATGGTACTTGTTTCCCACATGGTGGCATAACTGTTTAATACATCCTCTGCACAGGCATGTTACCTTAAGGGCCTAACTGCAAACTCTTCCTGCAAGCTCAGCAACTGGAAAACAAAAATCCACGTGTATCAGCGGACCTGATCTGACTGCTGCACTCTGACCCGAGCAGATTTATTTTCCCGTCAATGTGACTGGGGAATGGTAACATCTGATTTTCAGTATTTCAGGAATTCTAACTGATAAAGCAAGAGGCTGAGGATCTGTGATCACTTTCTGACTGTCAGCATCCTACAAGGCCACTGTGCAAGTCTCTGATTCCTGGAACTACCTCCTCATCTGGGAAGTGAAACAGCAAGTGATCCCTCCGAAGGCAGGGATCATGAAAGCCAGGTAGTGCGATGCCTGTGGAGCACCTGAGGCTTGATCCACACAGCTCACTGTGCTTCCTTCCAGGGGCCTTACATCTCATCTGTAGAGCACTGCAGATGGAAATCATCACAGAAACGCCAAGGAACTGTACAACAAAAGAATATACTACAGAGAAACCAGGCGCAACATGTCTAACGGCCTTGGAATAAGCTGAAAATTCAAACACTTAATGCAGTTAAAACACATGCTGGGGCGGGGGGCAGGGGGCGGTAATATTTTCTTGGTCTTGCTTACACAATGTCCAGCGTGCAGGAATCCCAGGCATGTCTGCAGTACCCAGCTTCTATTGAAATACAACTATTACATAATTAATTTTAAAGGTTATGAAAAATTCTAATTAGCTCTGTAAGAAGTCAGGCAGCTTACCTGTTTTCTCTTCCACTGTTTCTACAGCTGTGACGTGTTTCTCCATGGGACTGGGATACTGGGATAAAAATGCATACGATAAATATTACCACTTCTCACATGGGTAAAAGAAAATTGCTAGCTGGCACTTGTCAAGTCAGAAGCAGTTTCATAGCTTCTCTCAACAGGTACGAGCTGCCTGATATTAACAATCTGCAGTCTCCATTCAAGTTAGCGGAAAAGAAGAATTTAGTAAGATTAGCTTAGTAAGTAAGATTAGAAAACAAAGAGAAAACCCACAATACTGCTATGAGAAAAATCGCTTGAAGGGGAGATGGTAGCTTTTGCTGCAGCATACAGACATATTCCACACACCCTCCATACCACAGAAATGAAGACGCGAGCTCTTGACCCACATCATGTTTTTCAAATGAGGGCTAAGCAGAGCTTTCAGCAGCGTGGCAGCTCCACGGGCCAAAGCCCCCTGCGCTGCACTCCACAGAGAACAGCGTCCCGAGTTTCTGCAGCAAGCAACCTCCTTGTCACTGCTGCTAAGTGTGTTCAGCCACACAACCTATTTCCTCAAGCAAAAAGCTGGAAAGGTACAGTACAGCTGTAAGAGTCTGAATGCAGACTCTGGTGCATAACATTTCACTGTCCTGCAAAAGCTGCTAGAAGAGTGTGACGGGGGCAGTCACTTCGGATTGCAGTGTGGGTCCACCCTGGCAAGAGGGCACGCTCTTCTGCTCAGAGGCTGGCGTGCAGCAAGGATAAGGGATTGCTACTGCTTGTTCCTGCTCAAGGTAACCTCATTTTCCTTAGGTTGTACAGATGAGTCGTTTCAAGGCTGGAAGAAAGAGATTCTCGCTCCAAGACCTCCACCGCACAGGAATTATGCTAGAATTGTATAGGTTGCCTGTAGGGCAACATCCTATATAAGAAATGTATGCACAAGAACAGGACTTCTAAGGATGCATAGTCTATTTTGGAACTTACAAAACTCCTCTGGCTAGAAATGAGACAGAGAAGGCTACAAGGACCTTACTCTCTGTTGCAAAAAGCAATCAACATTCATATGAATAATGAACTCTAAAATTTAAAGTGCAAGATAATTTATTGAACTCAAATAATATCCAAAAGTTACTGTAACCTCCACGCTAATACAAATGCCAGACTGAAGAAATACTGACCACCAGATGAAGATTAACATTAAACAAAATACAAAGCTTTAGGAAAGGTGGGGAAATTGCATTTTAAGGCTAACTCAGTTTATGTAATGCAATTATGATGTGCAATAATAGGTGCTCCAAAATTCTGATATAAATCTTAGGTTCTAAGCTAAAAAGCTCGACAACTCCAGAGCAGGCTGTTCTATAATCCAGCTCTACTATTTTTTTCTTGCTGCAGAATAAAAGTTTATTTTAAAAGTGCAAAGTTTTCAAGTCCTATTCTATACAGAAATTGGAGGCTTCTCCACAACGTGCTGCTTCGAAATGGCAGTAGTGGCATAATTACATTATCGATGTAACTTACACTCTGTAAGGCCCAATCGTGTGAAACAAAGAGCCATTTACATAAATCTCCCACTAAATAGCAGGCTCTATTACCCCAGTATTTAAACAGAAATAGACTCAATTTCCTACACAGCACAGTAAAAGAAAGAACATTACAAATCTACAAGCAGATGTAATGGCTAGGAGAGTCTAACAGCCACAAAAACAGCGTTTCCAGCCAGCCACAGCCTCCCTGCAAGGTTTCCATTCCCGGGGGATCCCAAAGCTAACAGCAGCAGAGAACAAAAGAGATCTCAGCCTGACTGTTATTTCAGCCCTGCAGTAACTCAACCCCCGAACCCTCCTCCCCAGCACCAGAGGTACAGGAGTCCCATCCCCATCTGAAGGGCTCCCGCTAGCCCAAGGGCTTCAGCCCTGCCCTGCAGTCTCCTTGCCCGGGAGCACAAACGCAAACTGCCCTGCATCACCTCTCCTGCTCAGCAAGGGCACGGGGCAGGCGCTCCCATCCCTTCCAGAACTCACACATGACGCTGGCTCCAGCATCCTCATCCCCCACTCCTCGTGTCGGGCCACTCAACAGAGCAAGGGCTTCCAAAATTTGGAATTGCCTGAAGAGAGGCGGCTACTACTGTGCTGCTAACCCACAGTCGTGCCCAAATGTCACAGCTCCCACCACGCACCGTTCACTGAGAACACAATCGCTGGCCACGCTGCACAGGGCACCCCTGCACCAGGAGAGGACTCGGGGAGCTGAGACAAGGATGGGCTGCCGACCTGCTCTCGCCATACGTCCCTGGGAGCTCCGAGGCACAGCTACCGTCCTCTCAGCCGTGCTGAGGGTGACGGGGAGAGGGAGAGGAGAGGGTGCCGGGGACGGCCGAGGAGAGGGTGCGGGGGACGGCCAGGAGCACAAGGCTGCAAGCTGAGAGGATGGGCAGCAACTGCTGGGCAGAATCCGGCTGGGGCGTCGAAGGGCAGCTTTCCTGCCTGCTGCTAGGGCGGCAGGACAGGCAGGCCAACGAGCCTAAATCTCAGAGTGGCCGGGGCAGAAGCGACATCCCCCAAGCACCCAAGGCCATTCCCGCAGTGCCAGCGGCACCTGGCGAGGAGGGAATGCCATCTTGTGGTCCAGCCTGCAAACGCACGGCACCTGCCTCTGCGCGGGCAGCGGGGTGGGCACAGCCGGGGTGCTCTGCCTGTCCCACGGCTGAGGCAGAGCAGAGCACGGGCACCGCTCCTCGGCCACGGCCCCTAACCTGGTGTGTGCCAAGCTGCCGAAGGGTCCCACCAGGAGGGGACCAACATGACCCCCTCGTTATTCTGGAAATGCATGAGCAGAGGAGCCCCCCGAGGCCTGTCCACTTACTTGACACAGGAGCAAATCTCACCCCTCTCCCTGCGTAGGTACAATCTTCACGCCTTGCCTTCGTTAAACCCTTCCCAGACCGCAGCCGACACGTTTCCTACATCTCAGACTGCGTCTGGAGAAGTAGAACTCTAAACACTGTAACTCAAAATGCTATACTTTTATGAAAAAGAAACAGTTATCCAGATGAAGTATGCATACTTTTTTTAAAAAACTTAAATAGTTCCAGTGAGTTCCTGTAGTAAATTTCTTTCCAGATTGATTTTCTTATTTTAAAGACATTTCTCCTCCATCACACTAAGGGGACCCCGAACAAATCGGCAACAGCAGAAGCCACAAAGCTGACTTTGCCTTTAAGCTATCCACAGCTTTGAAATGACTTTTTTCTACCCTGGCTGCCAGTCATGAGTGTTTCCTGAAGACGTCAGAGCCCGTTTTACAGATGCAGAGCTGCAAGCGCAGTACCAGCAACCAGCAGTTCGGAAGCACTGAGACTCCCATACCCAGAAACCCCTCAGAACCCCAGCACGGGGGGTACCCGAGCGGTTACGGGGTTACCTCTCATTTCACGCCTACCAGAATTGAAGCACTCCATCCTCCATTTGCAAAAACCTGGTAATTAAAATTAGATAAAGAATTCCTGTGCTCTCATTTGGTCTTCCCGCAAATGTATTGATTGTTTTCTACAAATAACAACAAGCAAAATTGATTGCATTAGTCCTTATTTTGAATCCAGGGAATCAAGACCCCACATACCTTTCCTAACTGGACTATGTAAGATCATTTATCAAAAGCAGCAGTTTCTAACCACAGCAATGTTTCTTAGAAGTTATTTGAGGGAAATAGCAGGCCTCTAAAAGCAGCACTGCGTTTAGCAGTAGAGAGAAATCACTGCAGGTTACACACAACAATTTGTATAAAAATGAAATATTTCAAAGCAATGAAGGGATGGTTTTACATGCAAGATCAAATGGAGGCCCCATAAATCAAAATGACAGCTTCAAAGACTTGCAAAAAATAATAATATTTAAATTCATAAATATTCTGATTCTTTCTTTTTTAACTGCAAGGAAATGAAGCAGGGACACTGCAAAATCAGCTAAACCTTTCCAGATTCCTCCACTTTGTTATTGGTTTGGAAAGGTGGTGGTTGTGAATAAATGTAAATTTAAAAAAAAAAAAAGCCTAGCAAACCCACTGCACAGATTGCTTGCTGTGATAACGATCGATAAATACAAAAGCCTTTCACATACAGATACATTTCTTCCAAATACAAATCAATTTATCATACTTGAACTAAATGTTTGATTTAGAGTTCACTGGCTCACTTTAAAACGACACCTGCACTAACCTAAAGGCCACCCCAGCAGAAACTGCTGCCCGTTCTAGCAGGCTCAGGCCCCCAGGCACGGAGCAAGACTCCCCTCAGCTCCGCACCCCACAAAGGCATGGCCTTCCTACAGCCTCAGGAACGCAGCAGCTCTGCCCGGGGACCGGCCGCGCAAGCCCAGGCACACCAGATGGGTCTGACGGGAGTTAATGCCCCTTCTCCAAGCAGGATTCCTCCTCACCCACATCGCAGCTGCCCGAAGGGTGTACTCGGCGGAAAGAAAGCAGCCCTTGCAGACCACCGTCCATCCGACCCAGCCAATACACCCCTCAAGATTGTGCTCTGCCAGTGCCTGTCCTCCCACGCCGACCATGGAGGGGCTGTTTTCTCTAGAAACACATGGCAAAGGCAGAGTATTTTCTAGCATATTTCTGAACCAATATACAAGACTATATACCCCAATATCTGATGCCGCAGGCTGTCCATCTGATTACCACCTATTTCTTACTGATTCTACGTAATGAAAGCGGAGGACGCATCTCTGCGGTAAGACCACGTTTCTAGAGAAGCTGGGTGTAATTCTGCTGCAGAGTGCAGTGATGTCTTAAACCTAACCTGAGAGATGCACAAGAGGGAGGAAGGTCAAAAAAAAAGTCCACACTGATGCTTTCCACAGTCTGAGTGACTTCTGTGCTCCACCCTCAGAGATCATAAGTTGCAGCCGATACGCAAAATGCCCCAGTCAAGACAATATGTGGGATTTCTGTGAGCCAGGAGATGTCTTGGCACAAACATACCCTTGAAGAACCCCAACTGCTCTGGCTTTGGTCTCCTCTGAGGGCACATCTGGTTGCACCTTGTCCTGGTTTCGGCTGGGA